TATATAGTGAACTTTTAAGAAATTTAAGCTTGGGGTAAATCTGACTTATATTGAGGAAAAAAATACTTACAGAACTTCTGTTTCTGAATAATTTCTTGGGAGCGTTTTGCAATTTGCAGGCCTTCAAGTAATCCATCCAAACAAATTTATCTTTTCTATAACCTAAAAAAAGTATAGATTACTCAAAATAGCCACAAGATGTAACCACATACATATTAAATGTATTATCATTATTTAGTCTTCTGCCATAAATTCAGTGTCCTTAGCAGACCACAAAAGATTTAAATTAAAATCTTCAAATTGTTTCAGCTTATTTTTAATATATTAAGCTCAAAACTGTTGATGGTGAGCTCCTATCATGTACACCATTCCCTACAAATTCATATTCTCTGATATAGAACTGGCACCCAGGTGGCTCGATGGGAGTCTCATCTCACATTAAGGATTTCCAGAATGGGCAAAGGGATGACACTAGAGTTCCTGCGCCTGTCCTCACTCCTGAAGAGGCCATGTCGTGAGATCATCGGAGGGGCCGATGGCACGGCCATCCAGGCCAGGCACTCGCGGAAATGACAGAAACTCTGTTACAATCCAAAGACCATTTGGCAGCTCCAGCTTTCTGCTCCGTTTCTTTACAAGTTTCTCATTTACAAATCCTTACCCTCCCATTCATATGCCCTAACGTGGCTCCCACACAGTGCTGGCCCAAATGACATGGCTCGATAAATGTTTTCTGACTGAGTGAGTGTCACACTTAGAACAGAAGTCAAAGTGCCTGCATGGACTTCACGGCCTCAGAGACACCTCTCCCTCACGGCCTACCTTCCTGCCCTGGCTGCTCTGCTTCCTCCTCCCTCCCCGTGCATGCTCCTGCCCTAGGGCATTTGCTCCAGCCCGGACAGCCACACTGCTTTCTCTCCCAGCTCATCCAAGTCTGTGACAGCATCTGTGCTCAGAGAGGCCTTTCTTCACAGTGCTGTCTGAAAGAGTGTCCCTGCAGCCACTCAACCCTCCACTATCCCCCTCCTCAGGAATGGAAGGCCCACAGAGATGGAGATGTTTGTTTTACTCTGTTTTACTTGCATTATCTCCCCTGTGCCTGCACACAGCAGGGACTCCACAAATACCTACTGAATGGGTGAGCCTGTCACCTGTCACCAGCTTCCATGAAATCCAGCAATCTCAAGGGACTCTGTCATCAGCCTCAAGGGAGGATCTCAAGGGACACCCTGAGTCAATTACTAAGAATAAAAGGGCTATATACTGACTCCGGAAGTTGCCCCAGTCATCAAATGGGAGCTGGTATACAGAAGTTTGCAGTGCAAAGAAATGGGCTTGTTGGCATCATACATGATTACAGCCCCATCTCATTTGCACAAAGCAAATAAAAAAGGCTTCAGTCACACCTGCCTGGCCCAGGTTCCTCTAGCATGTAACTAAAGATGAGATTTTTCATTGCCATCAAAAGAAAACAGCACACGTTCCCATGAAGTTTGAAGCAAATTATTTATAATGAATCAAGTTTCCTCACCATGAAGAGAAGATCCACTAATGGCCAACAAATATGAAAAAATGGTTAACATTTCTAATCATCAGGGAAATGCAAATCAAAAATGCAATGAGGTATCACTTAACTCCAGTGAGAATGGCTTTTATCAAAATGTCCCCAAATAACACTACCATTTTATCCAGCAATCCCACTACTGAGTATTTACCCAAAGGAAAAAAAGACATTCTACAATAAAGACACCTGCACTTGAATGTTTACAGGAGCACAATTTACAATTACAAAGATGTGGACACAACCCAAGTGCCCTTCAATACATGAGCAGACTAATAAAATGTGGTATATTTATACCATGGAGTACTACTCAGCCATAAAAAATGGTGAGCTAATACCTCTTGTATTAACCTGGATGGAAATGGAGACCATTCTTCTAAGTGAAGTATCACAAGAATGAAAAAATAAACACCCACATATACTTACCATTAAACTGGAACTAATTGATCAACATTTATGTGCACATACGGAAATAACATTCATCAGAGATCAAGTAGGTGGGAGAGGGAGGAGGGGATGGGTAAATTTACACCCAGCGGGTACAATGCACACTATCTGGGGGATGGGCACACTTATAACTTTGACTCAAATGGTACAAAAGCAATTTATGTAACTGAAACGTCTGTACCCCCATAATATTCTGAAATTTAAAAAAACTGAAAAAAGAAAAAAAGTAATAGTCCA